TCCACGGGAAAAATCGGCTCGGAATCTTATAAAGCTTACCAAGGGAACCAAATTGGGCATAAGTTGAAAGGCATTGCGAAGGAGCTTTTAATCTCGAACGATCTGCAAATTATCGACGGCAACGGTTCTGGAGGATTCGCACGAGTCGTACGAGACTTTATCACGCTGAAAATCCACGAGTATAGCAATGATGGAAATGAACACCGCTTTTTTGTCTTCCACCCTGATACTGCTTGGAGGGGAGCATTTTTACGGCTGGAGGACGTTGAAGGGCCTCTCCCTCCCCAATTCGCAGGCATATGTCACAACTTAGTCGTCCTTTGCAGATGGATGCTCTGCGTCAGGGTGGCGCTTGTCGAGGCCATGGGCGACCAAGGCAAGAAGATCCACTTCCATATCCTGATACCGGCATACGAGCCATTGGTCATTCCGCGACCTTTCAAATTCTTTCATGCTCTGCTTCCTCTTACAGTTGACGGAGCTATCAGTCGGGGTCGTAAACTCGTCTGGCTGAGGATTGTGTCAGGTTCGGCAGGCTTGTTGAGAGATGTTGGGGCGATTTTACCGCCTAGTCATTTCCGTGCACAGAGGAGGGCATGTGTTGTTGTTTTAGGAGCCTGGTTGGTCACGATGCCCGCACTCGTATTGGCCGGCAAACTCATTTGTCCCCCTGGCGCTCCTCTTATGGCAGGTCTACTTCTCCATATAGCGATCCATGGTTGCTCTTTGGCCCTGTCGATTTGGATAAATGGAGCAGTAAAGGATCATTACCTTCGGGAAGAACCACCTGCAATTCTTGGCTAAGCTTTGGTCTCTTCTTTTCTCGCTATGAGAGCATGCAAGGGCGGAAAAGGGGAGAATGTGAGAGAGAATATTCGCCAACTAAATATGTGCCCATGAAGGGATATATTCTCAATTAGGAGGTTAGAGAGTCCATTCTTCAGAAGTGTCAAGAGGGAGGAGTCTTGAACATATGCAGCTGCACTATGTCGAGGTCCTATAGACCCTCTCACACGCCAAACTGCCACTCTGACAGCGACTTTGAAATTATTAAAATCATTTGCAAATCAAGGCACCCAAAGCCAACTTGCCATATGGACGGCCACGGATGGGGAAAGTCTGTCTTCGGTATGTGGAGACGGCTCTGGTGAGTTGCCAGCTGGCCGTCAGGTTGTCGCCGGGGTGTGTCTCTGTGTGTGCTTTTGGGAATAGATGCTTCCAAGGGATTGAAGGCTGGGCCGCCGAGTCTCGGGCGCTCGACGGGGAAAATAGATGTATGCGGGGTGATGGGTTGAAGCAACCTTGGTTTTTGGCTGGCAGGGGCGCGCAAGGTCGACATGGTGCGCAGGAAACATCAACCAGTGGCGCATAAGACATGCCACATGTGTTTTTAGGCTGCCATGACCGGGCTGCCATGACCGTGCGCCGGCCGGGGCGCGCGGGGCGAGCGCAGAAAAAGCCCCGGGGTTCGACGGGGACTTTTATCTCCGTACTCCGTGCATCTGCGCAGAGATGCGGGGCAGGCCTGCGCAGGGGGGGGCGATGCCTCGAATCACGTGCGGCGACATTCCGCCTTCTAGAACCTTGCCTCAAGTTAAGGGGCCTTTTAACCAGTAGGCACGTTTACTTAAATATCGGGCAGACCAAAAAGTGGGCTTGTTTGGCTGGTCAAGGCCCCCGCATTTATGCGTTGCGCAAGGTACAAGAGCAACGGCAGTTATTATACCAGAAGCCAAATAGAATGCCCTATAGCCAGACGTTCACACCATGGTATAGACTTCCGTGCTCTCACGCTCTAAAGAAACTAGAAGACGAGAAGCGAGCTCTATCGCTAGAGCATTTCTATCCGCACTGGCATTTGAAGCGAGATGAGGTTCAGCCGCTCCCTATTTTGGAACCTCGACGAGCTATTGATCGACGTAGTTTGCGTTGTATTCAGCCAGCGGCAAGCATAAGGCGCGAGCCGTCAGGATTTGAGCTGGTTCAAGGTAGCAGGAGAGCCCCCGGAAAGTGCAGCAGTCGTCATGCACTAGGTCATATCAAGACGTCAAAGCACTGTCCGTTGAGGGGCAAGGAATCGCCGACACAGGCTGTGCAGGTCGCCCACCCCCCAACCCCCCCCTTAAAAAAAACCTTCCTTGCCAGGAGATCTGGGATTGATGTTGCTTTCGTTCCTCACACCCATCGCTTCATTAAATTTCCTAATAACCCTAGGGACTTCACGCGAGTGAAAGCTTCCCTAAGCAAGTTGAAGCAATATGAGACGCAAATCTTTAAGAGGCGACTCGTATACCTATCGAGAGGTTACTCTTCCGGAAGAAGCAGCACCGGGGATAGAACCCGTGGCAAAACGGAGAAGACTTTCCGGCAAATCCGTTTTAAGAATTTCTAGAACGAAACCGCTATATAGCCCTAGCTATAGACTAAGATAGACTTACGCCCGGCTAGGACGAATACCTACATTAGATAACGCACTATAAAACTAGCGATAGCTTAGTTAAAGATCCTATTATATACTAGTACGATAAGCGACTTAAGTATCTAAATCTATCGTGAATAGTACTCGACTTCCTAATTATATAGCTAATATCCGCCGAATATAAGTAGCTATTCTCTATAGTAGGCAGAATAGTTACCCCTCTCTAGAATCGACTTAAGGCATAGACGATTAGTATATACTAGGTATTAAGTTCGTGACTATAGGCGGGAATTATTTAAGATTTAGACCCTTTCTTTATCTTAATTAAAGAAGCGAAGACTATTCTCGAGCTAGCCCAGATGTCGGATCGAGAGTTTAAAGAGTGGGCGATAAAGTGGCTTACTCGAGTGGCCAGCGCTTAGGAGGAGGCGGAATTTAGCTAGAGATGATCTCGCTTAGGGAATACATAAGGTCCTGCAGGCCGTGCAAAGGCAGGAAGTGGTTCCTGCTCTCAGAGTCTCGGGTCTCTCAGGAAAGCTTCAGGCTGCATTTCGAATGAAGGCATATAGTGGATTATAATCTACCCACTCCACTCGAGCTGCCAGTGGATTGAGTGGAGTGGATGTCAACCCTGACCATGCTACACTCGGGTAATGAAGTGAAAGCAGGGAACCCACCATAGAAGGAAAGATGTGGGATACAAGTGTTGGGGCGGAACCAGTCTCTGGGGAGGAGGACGGCGTGGACGGGCACCTGGCAGTTTCGAGGCCGCTGTCGGTGTTGAGCGCAGGGCGCCTGCCACCCCTTGAGCACGCTGCAAGCAAGGAGCAGCTGAGTAAATGGTGATGAGTGCCGTTGAAGGGGCGAAACTATCCCTGATCTGCTGACTGGCCTGCAAATTCTCCGGCTGCGTGACCAGAAGGCGTTTCCTCTCCACAAATAACTGGTGCTCCCGCATACCGGCAGTCACGAAGAACTGACAATGTCTGTAGGGAGCGAATACGAGACTCACGAGTCTCTCGCAAGCAACGACGTCCTCATCCCTAGCCGTCATTGGCATTGTCTTGGGTCGCTCGATTCATGTCACGCTCCAGCCCGCATAGGCACCGATCCCTTCAGGCGGCTACCAGGGAGGCCTACGATAGAGTCGGATGCATGGATGAAGTTCTCGTCTATCCCGTTCCTTGCGGGGACCTGAAATGCGGAACTTGGACCTCGCGAGACGTGTCAGGGAAATTATAACGGGGGATGAGGGGGCTCCATACCCGCACTCTCGACGAATAGACAGCCTACATCATGTCAGCCCATCCAGATTGTGGGGTTGGTGTTGGGCCTGAAAGGCGTGGACATGTAAACTATGTTTCTACACCTCCTCGCCTGGATTGACTCATACAACATCCTTCCACGGGAAACTCCCCACCCCCCGTGGGGATCCAAGACGTCGCACTACGCTGATGGAAGTGGAGGTAGCATCACTCGACTCCCGTCCGAATGTTAGGAACCATTGTTGGATGCATACAAATTACAGGATAATGACAGAAATCGCTGTTAAGCCTATCGAGACGGGAGGGAAGTGCCGCCGCTTTTGGTGGCCTCGACAGTGAGGGCTGGCACAGTGTACCTGCATGGGGTGCGCCAACCTATCCGTCAGCTGAGACGCACCTAGGCCGGGGTCGCCTACATGACTAACGAGCCCATTACCTTGGCCCACACTCCAGCGGTTCATCCTCCAACGACCTCCTCGTGTAAGGAAAGAAGATAGTTTGTTGAGGACGAAAGAACACACCAAAAGCCCAGTGCAACGACCGTTGAGTAGGCCAGCAAGACTGGAAGACCCTGCCCAAAGCCGGGCTAACGAGACCAGCGTCTCTGACAGCTGACAAGTTGGCGAGAGATCAACCGAAGGTTCAGGCCGTGGAATTCGTAAAGGCAACGCCTAACAAGGCAATTCATGTCATGTCACGCGCGCAAGCAAAGGTAATGACAGGCAACTTCGGCCGTCTCAAAGGTGCGGAAGGAAACATACGAAACCTCCCATTGAACTATGAAGAGCTCAAGAATAAAGTAAAAGCGCATGAGGGATCATTTGATCATTAAGACCCAACGTCTCCTTTATACTCATTTGGCCCTTTTGGCCCTTTTGTCCCACTCCACCAATGTGTCCATCCTCATTCCTGGTCAGGGGTCTGTGCCTCTGCTCCGACAAACTATATTCTGGAAGCCAAATTCCTCAGGACCTGCATGATTTCGTTCAAGAACGAGAGAAAGATCTAAGTACTTGCGACTTTTGGTATCTAGAACTGGCGTCTCGTGATTTAGGACAAGTTCAACGATATTATGAAAAGCCTACAAGAAACTTTACTTTGGGCAGAAGTCAGCATGCCATGTCGAAGCTTCGCCCCCGTATCTCTCGTGCCGAGTGTAGAACAGTGGATGGTATTTGTCGAGGATATGCGACATTTCGAGGCAGGAAATGCCTGGTCATCAAAATCTCATGCCTGCGAATCTAGTCATACTAAAAACACTGCCCTTTTATGTCCCCAATCCTTCGAAATTTCCTTTGGCATGCCCCCCATGACCTCTACGCTTCAGAGCCTTTCGAGCTGCCGGCCCGCGATGACTCTTCTCGTGATAGCTCCAGCCAGACCTTAGGATCAATGGGAGCTTCCGTGTTACCATACTCATCCTTGTAGCACTTGAGGTTCTTATGGCACTCCCTCTGCAATCTGACCAACTTATTCCAAGCCGTCTTTCGTCGCTTCAATGTCTCAAGTTTCTCAGTCCTGTCAGCCTCCGCGAGAGGACGCTTGGAAGAAACACCTTCTGGTAAATCTCCCGACGGAGCATCTGTGCCGAGGGTGGCTGCCGCGAGGTGGACCATCGAGCTATCTGCGATGAGTTTTGCGTATCTCTCAGCAGCGAGTTTCTCGACTAGCTTGCGCTCAGCGAGTACCGTTTCCCGTTTCTTCTCCTTCTCCTTCGCCATCTTTGCTGCCCTGTCGTAGGCTTCCTCCTTCGGTGTCCAGAAGACTGGATCGTCACGGTGGCCATCGCGGCGGTCAAAGTAGGTGTCGATCACTGCCTGAACAGTCTCTTGCAGCAAGGGAATATTACCGCGCAAGTGGCTGGGTGTAACGACAGGAATGTCGACTAGATCTTCAGCCAATGTGTTTTTGAGGACATGCCATTGGCCTTGCTCAACGAGGCGCTGGATCGACGCGTGCACGAGGCTGTTGCGGTCGGCGTACATAGCGATGGTTCGCAGGACGCAGTCAAAATTGAGACCCATGGCGCTGCATGCGTTGAACGCCGCTAATGTTGTCTTGACATCTGCGTCTGTGACGGCTGGATCTCGCGCCTCCCATTTGCGCCACGAGGTGTGTTCCTTGTTGATGTCGCTGTTGATGTCGGTCCAGTAACGGTCCCAGCCGTTGAGCTGCTCAAAGTACTTGGTCTCTTCCGTTCTGGCTGTGACCTTCAGCTGGTCACAAACGCGAGTCAGGTAATTGCCATATCGTGCCGCAAACTCGAAACGTCGTAGCTGAGAAAGACGTTCGACAAGGTTTAGGTTACCGATATCTACTGGACGACGTAGGAAGTTTCTTGTGCAGATATCCCTCTCAAAGAGGAGAAGACTGGAAAGCAGTTCTTTCTTCTCGTCATTGTCGTCGTATTCTTTCTCGAGAACCGCCTTCAGCGTCGCCTTATAGAGGGTTAGGCAGTGATGGGCGATAGGGGACACCTTTCTCTTCTTGTTGCGGAGAGAGTGATCTGCGAATCGGAGTCCCAATTTCAGGCGTTCTTCCGAGTAAGCAGAGATGTCTCTGGGTGGCTCAGGTATCGTAGGATTGTCGATGACGTCCTCCTCGTAGCTGTCACCAAGCAGCGACTTTGTTGAGGCGCGAGCGCGCTTGATGAATTTCGAGAGGCTCATGAGGATCAAAATACCGAAAAGTCAGCGGTGAAATGGTTGATGGATGGAACATGGGCAGTGCGGAATGGATAACAGCGTTTGATTAATGGGTGCGATGAGAAGGAACAGAAGTGTCTGCCTGTGAAGCGTCGCTAGAAGTAGCTCTCTGATGCACACGCACGTGATGAGAGGGGCCTCGCAGCTTCTCGTCGAATCTAAACACCACTCTGCCACTAGCAAAATAGGGGCACCCCCAGTGGAGGTGATAATACTAGCAGATATTATAAGGCTCTGTCTGTCAGAAACAAGCCACAGGAAAAACGGAGGCCTGAAGCGGCCTGGACAATAGGTACGAAAGTCTCTTGTGTAGGTGCAAACTCTCTTGTCCTCAGCAGACGGGGCCAAACGCTTGCCGATATGTGACATCTCTACCCATAGAAAATCGCATCCAAAGGAAGGTCATGGCCCGGCTTGTTATTCTGCTACGGAAGGCAGCAGCCTGCCAGCTTCTGACACGCTGTATGCGGCTGTTATACTGTTGGCCTCAACAGCTGTTATTGTGGCCGGCCCGGGCCACTGTGGCAGCTGCCCTGCCTAGGGTCGGGCGTGCAGCCGGGCGTGCAGCCGGGCGCGCAGAGGCGCAAGGTCGGGCGCGCCGTCTAGGGGCTAGCTTTATTAATTATACGGCACCCAGCAATAGAGAGGCATGGCCACAGGGGCAGGCCTAATGGCGGCAAGGGCGCCGATCGGGGATACCACCATCCCCGGTGGGTGCAACAGCGTATTCCAGACTACAGTACAAAAATCGATGATGGGGGAAAGGGGAGTAAGATAGAGGGCAAGGGCCAGGGGGATCTTTAATCTAGAGGGCATAGTGAAATCAGCTTTGGCTTATCAACACGTGCGACTAATGCCCTCAAGCGTTTGTTTCAGCACGAGTAAGAACCAGCGGCCTTCAACAGCCAAGTTGACAACGAGGCAGCTGTCTGCCGCAGCCGTCCATGAAACGACACCATCCCACAGTCGCGAATGTTTACCCAGCCTAAATGGGGAGTTCGCGCCTCTGCACACGCACGCGTGAGAACCATGTTAGTAGACTTATTGTAGAACTCCCCGGTCGACATATCTATGCAAGCTGTGGGCCCGGGTTACGCCTAGGCGTAGCTCGTCGAGCAGTCGCCGCATGGTGGCTTGCGTCAACGATACAGACTACCTTCCGAACCGGGGGCTAGATGCTTGGCCAAAGACAGAATGAGCTGGATGGATACCTGCATCTCATCCGCTCCTGGCTGTCTCACGATACTGCCCCGGTGGATCCGCAGAGTAAAGGGGCCCGCTGTTTTCGGCATTGATGAGATAGGAGTCCCAATACTAGCCTGATATGGCGACAAGTAGGTAGCTGTCAGGACAAGAAAAGGGCCTATAATACGCGTTAGTAATACCTCTATTGGTGTAGCGGTATTTTACTAGCTGACAGTAGCTGTCTCATTAGGACCTGCTGGGAACTAAACAACAGGCCCCCACATAACGGTTGCCAAAATGACTGGAAGTCATAAAAGCCAAGATCACCGGCTCCCACGGTACTCCCCAGCACACACACCAACCGTGGAGCTGCTTGCGAACCACGCCCACAAACTAGTCGACAAGACTTTCAGGTCTGTCTAGCAAGGGGCAAGATTCGACCCGTCACTGGCTCCAGCATCGTTGGTTGAGGCTCGCACAGGACTACCATGTACGTGCAGCCATTGATTACATATAGGCATGGCCGAACTATAGGCGACCAATATCGAACCCGAGTTTTCTTGGCTGGCTCCGGTATCCTTGGTTCCTAGCCCTCTCCCCCTTACTATGGTTCGACCCCCTGCAGTCAAACGTTCCATCTCGTCACATAGTGGAGCAACCAAGCTCCGCAGCATTCAAACAACTATCCCCGCTCCGGGTCAAACAGTTCAGGAATAATGCAAATGCATTGTACCAGTATATCGGACTGGACCCTCTTTTTCCAGTCAGTGCCGCCAGGCAGCCGATCAGCCGAGTAGCTGTCACTCGCTCGGGCGATCGTCTCTTGATTTAGTGCGCCCTGGAGTCTGGGTCTGCCCTTGAACCCGGGGTCCTTCGTCGACCCCTTTAATCTCGAATACTTGGAAGACGCATCCACCCGTTACATGGTCACTCGAGAAATAGGCTAAACGACGTATTTGAATTATGAGTTGGCCCTCCGCGAGCACCGATGCCCTACGGGGGAGCACCAGCATCCCCTGACCTGGCCATGGCCGAGGTCGTCTCCTTCGATAAAGAGCAGACGGAGCATATTTGTATAAAGGATCAGCCCATCTTCCCGTTAAAGTCGTCTAAAGAAACGACTCACTTTAGCTTCAACTGACCGCAGGCTAGTTCCGGCTTTTACTTTTTCGTCTTGTTCGAACGAGATTCCTTTCGTTTTCGTTCCTCTCTTTTTATTCATTCAACACTTATCGGGTCTTTTCATTCACTATGGTGATGCTTCCTCTCTTGGTGGCCAGCCTGATGGCTACGGCTACTATGGCTGGGCCAATTGATCCGGAAGACGATGTTGAGTACTCTGCGTGCGCCAACGCGGACGCTACCCCCGAGGAGAACAGCATGTGGGCGCGCCAGCTACAGCAGCGACCGCCGCCAAACGACAACGGCGACGAAATTACGTTGCCGGCGTCCTTCACCTATTGCTGCGCAAAGGAATCGGACTGCCCCTTTGTGAGTTTGACCCAACAGCAAAAATCCATGAGCATCCGCCGTTACCGGCCAGCGAATACCCGGTCCTAACAGGTGGTGTGGTAGGACGAGCAAGAAGAGGGCAAGAAGCAGATTGAAATCCTGAACAAGCACTACAATCCTGTCGGAATCAGCTGGGTTCTCAGTAACTCCACCAAACTCAGCAATGATCCACGCTGCGCGACAACGACTCTGGACAATAACAAACAGCAACTGGAAGAGCTGAAGGCACAAAACCGCGACGGTGGCTCCGAAGAGCTCAACATTCTGTACCTGCCCTCTAACCGGGGCGCTGGCAAAAAGGGAGAGTGCATTTCTCCTGAAGCCGGGAGCGAACCTCCTCCCAAGAAGAGTTCACTTGTGGATTCTTGCGTTGTCGCCATGGATACCCTCCCTGGTGTGAAGAGCCAAGGAACTGGTGGTCAGCCCGGACAGCCTCAACAGACCGGTGGCTTTGGCAACTTCATCAGCCGTCTTTTTCGTCGTCAACGACAACAGCCCCAGCAACCCAAAGGACAAGAAGACGTCACCACGGTTCACGAGGCTGGTCACTGGCTCAGTCTTTCACACGTGGGGCAGACGAACGGCGGCGGCGGCGGCTTCGGCGGCGGCGGCGGCTTCGGCGGCGGCAACCGCTTTGTTCCTGGCAGGCTGCGCCGTAGACAGCAAGGCAGAGAGGGCAACATCATGGAGCCTTATCAAGTGTAAGAGTCCCCTTTAGCCCGAGATTGATGACGAAATTGCCAGTCCCCTTCTAACAGGTGCACATCAGACTTGGTCAAGGCATCAACTATACGTTCGATTACCAACAGAGGCGACTTATGAGGGAAATGGCGCAGAAGCGCCTTCAGAAAGGAAACTCGACTGATGGCACTGAGAGCCGGGGTGGAGGAGGAGGAGTAGGAGGAGGAGGACAAGTACCGCCAGATGTGGCTGGCTTCCCAGGTATGGGTCCAAGAACCTGGGCGGTCGGTCCCCCGGGCGCTCAGCGTTTCCCACAGTCCGGTCCTCCTAGTGGTCAGGGTAAACCCGAGATCCAGACTGGTGCCCCGGGCACTCAGGCTTTTCCCCAGCCTGGTCCTCTGGTCGGTCAAGGGGGCTCGGGCGGAGAAGCCGCAACAGTGGAGACTCTCAACCCGGATGATTTAGTCAAGGAGGTGACCCAAAGCCTGGGGATGTAGAGGACGGGTGGGAAGCGCATGGGCAAGATCAGGCTTTCTATCTATAAGCGTATGGAATAAGTTAATCCATATTCCATATTCCATACGACTAACGTGCTTCACCACCTAATGAGCCATACTACCCAGTGAGCCACTACCCCTGCATAAATCCAACAGTCCTTAATTCTCATCGTCGCAGAATACACTGTAAATCGATAATCATTTAAATGATTATATAAATAGAGTCCTTAATTACCGTGCATAATCGGACATTATGCCCCGGCAATTTACACCTACTGCGGAGCCGTTGTGCGCCGGTTTTCTCGGTCGCGCTAGACTATACCCCTAACCCCTCGCCCTCATCCGCCTTCTCCTTTGCAAGCCGAAGACCTTCCTTAATAGCTAAATCACCATTATCTAGGCTTTGCTATATACTATATTCGACGCAGAGTTTATAAGCTCTTAACTTTAACTGCTTTTAGCACTTAAGTACTTATATAGACGGCTTATCTAAAAGATAGTATAACTAAGGACTATTTATATTAATTGTAAGGAGCGGTGTTCCTACTATAAATAAAGCAGCTATAATATACTCTCCCGATTATATAAGCTAATAAGTAGTATATTAATTATAGACAAAATCCTATCCTATAGAGCAAGAATCGCTCGTTATTTTGCATGTTATTATGCATTAAACGGGTTGCCGGTTATCGTACAATCGGGAATCGAAGGAACAGAGCTAGCTTAGAATACTAGCTAAGACCTCTTAAGACCTCTTAAGAACACCGGCATAACTAACCTCCTTTAAACACGAATATTAGTAGAACTAAGATACTTCTAGCTATACTTAAGGTATTACGGAATTCCTTAGTCTTAGGGCTATATAGCAGCTTAAATCTAGTCCCGAAAGGTTCTTCTATTTAGCTATAATTATCTATATAAGATAGTATATCCGCTAGTAGATAGAGAGAGAATTATTAACTTTAATACTATAAGAGTCTTTAACTATTATAGGTAATAGGCTTAGGCCGCGGCCTAAGCCGTATAGTTACGTACGGAGGGCCGGATCCTATAAGTATAGGGGCGGGCTAGCCGCGTATAGAAGAGCTCTATATAGCTTATTAATATTATCCTACGGACGGCACCTACGTATACGCCTCTACCTACTCCGTGATAGTATAAGCTATTAACTAATAGATCTAATAGATATCTCCCTAGAAAGGGTGCCGCTTCCCTAAGGGAGCACCCTACTACCCCCTAGGCGGATAGAAAGTATTATAGCTATCCTAAAAGCGATTAAAAACGCGACGGCTAGCGAGAAGAACGAGGTTCTCGCTATACTAAGGGAGCCGTCTACGAGACTAGCGTTAACCCCTACGACCTTAGTAATACCGGTTATAGCGGCGGTACTACCGATATAGAAGCCGCTTCCCTAGCCGACTTAGGACGGTAAGCCTAAGTCTTTCTATTTCTTCCTTAGCTAGCTATAGATAAAGTATATAATAGATAAGAAATAAGGCCTAAATAGCTATTATAATATAGCGTAGTATTCGCTCCTTTATACGCTACCGGAGCCCTAAATATAGCGGATCTCTAGATTCTAGGATAAGAGCGGCCCTAGAAGGAAACGCGACCTATAGGACTTCTTTTAATACCTTATATATATATTCGGCAACGTATAGGAGCGGGAGAAGGTATAGGATAGGCTATAGACCCTTAAGTAAAGGGATAGGTAGACCTTTAGCGAATTCCTCCCTAACTTTAAAGAGACGCTCTTATAAGTAGCGGGAACTATAGTATAGGAAGATAGCGCGAAGCTTATATAGTTATAGAACTTAATTACGCTAGCCCTATAGGAGCTATTTATCCCTATAATTATACCTACTAACTATAGCGAGTACGTAAGCTAGTTAATAAAGGTAGTATAGGGCTATAAGTAGACGCTATATTTCTAGAAGCTTTATAAGCGTACGCTATATAGCGGTAATAGGATTACCGCCCCTTTATAAGAGGAATAGCTAACTATCGATATTAATAGAGATACCTTAATATCGGCTACCTATATAGACCGAGCTAAATATAGTAGGAAGTCGTCTTTAAATATCCCTTATCTTATCCCGCTCTCTAAGTAGCGGGCAAAGTAGGTAACGAGCGAGGAAATTAAGAAAAGGAAGGCTAACGGCCGCTACCTACGTTATAGCGCGTTTATATACTTTATATTAAAATGCCCCTTCCTTTTAGCTAAGCGGCCTATAGTAGTTAGAGTAGTAAAGATAAAACCGCTCCTTACCTTAGATAATAAAGAGGACTCCGCTCCCTTAGGCCTAGAGGAAAAAGAGTAGCTCTAGAGTAAAGATAGGCTCCGGAGCCCTAATTATTAGCGCTAGTAAAGGAGAAGGAGGAATTATCCGCCTATATAAAAGAGGAGCCTACTTTAATATAGGTTATAGTTAATAACTCCTTACTTATCGCCGCCCTTATAAACGAGGGCTACTAATACTATACTATAGTTAACGAGGCGCTTATATAAGAGATATAAGTATTAGTAGAAAAGATTGCCCTAAGGTAAGTAAAGGGCGCCTTAAGCGTAATAAAGGGTATAGTAATTAAGGGTATTATATAGCTAGCTATAAAGGTCGATAGTTACTATAAGCTTATTATAGCCTATATAATCCCTTAACTAGAGTTTCCCTTAATCCTTAGGAAACCTTAGTTATTATATATAAAGTTATACTTAGTTCTATACTAAAAGAAGCTATAGTTTAGGCCTATATAATAATAGGTCCGCTATAACGATAGTTCTATAAGTATAGGACTAAGCGTATAAGCTTTATACTTAGTATAAGAAGTCCTTACTTTTATCTTTATAGGAACTATACGATAGTTAGAGCGGGAAGAAGGCTAGGTAGCGGCTAATATAGCGGTCTATATAGTTAGCTTAGCGGATATCGATAAGGCCCTTTAAGTAAAAAAGCTAAAGTCGCCCTCTAAGCTATAGTAGTAGATACCGGAGCGCTTTTACGACCTCCTACTACTATTTAAGTTCTAAGAAGTAGATAAGCTTAACCTATATAAGCTAGGGGTAGACTATAAGATCGTACTCTATACTAATAAGAAGGGGTAGGAACTACCTATACCGTTTAGACCGTTATATAGTATATTATATATAGAGCTATTAGTACTAAAGAAGATACTAAGGGACCTCTTAGATAAGGGTTTTATTTAAGTAAGTAGCTCTAAAGTAAGAGCGCTAGTCTTATTTATATATAAACTAAGGGGTAGGATATAGTTCTATTATAACTATAGGGCTTTAAATATAATTATAAGGCTAGACCGCTACCCTTTACCCTTAATCTTAGATACGCTCTATAACCTTTTAAAGGTAAAGTAGTTTATAAAGCTAGATATAAAATAAGCGTTCTATAAGGTATAGATCTTAGAGGGTAATAAGTAAAAGATAGCGTTCTATATATACTATAGCTTATTTAAGTAGCTTATAATACCTTTTAGCCTCTTAAGAGCGCTCGCTACCTTCTAGTATTATATTAATAATATACTTTAGGACTTCCTTAATAAGTTCGCCTTTATATATATAGATAATATCCTTATCTATATAAGCGGCTCTTATAAGGACTATATATAGAAAGTATAGAGGGTCTTAGAGCGCCTTTAACTTTATAGGCTTTACCTTAACCTAAATAAGTACGAATTTAGGGTTAAGAGGGTTAAGTACCTAGGCTTTATTATCTACGCCGGTATAGGTATATAGGTAGATCCTATAAAGATCTAGGCGATTTAAGACTAAGCTACCCTAACTACGTAAATAAGTATACGGAGCTTCCTTAGGTTCGCGAACTATTATAAGATATTTATTAAAGGCTTCTCCTATATTATAATACCCTTAAACGAGATTACTAAAAAGCGGACTACTTTTTACTAAGGGCCTATATAGGAAGGAGCGTTCTATACGCTTAAGGACCTATTCTCTTAAGCCCTAGTACTACTTTAGTAGGACTTTAACCGGTCTATATTAGTTAAAGTAGACTATAGCGGCTAGGTACTTAAAGGAACGCTCTCTTAAGAGGTAGACGGGCGGAAGTAACTAATAGCGTTCTACTCCTATAAGCTAACCTTAGCGGAGCGGAATTACGCTATTTATAATAAGGAGATACTAGCGATTATTAGCTACCTTAAGTAATAATAAGCAGAGCTCTAAAGCTATAAGAGCTTTAAGGTTCTTATAGACTATAGGAACCTTAAGTACTTTATAACTCGCTAGTACCTCTTAAAGCGGTAAGCCCGCTAAGCGGAGTATCTCTTATACTTTAACTTCTCGATTAAGTACTAGCTAGGGCGGGACTCTATAGTCTTAGATACGCTTTTCTAGAAGGATTAAGACCGGCTAATAAGAGTAGATATCGAGGCCTAAGATCTATAACTTATCCTATAAGAAGCGCTATAGACTTATATAAGAGCTTCCCTAGTAGAGGAAAGCGCGGCGCTAATAGATAAGCCTTTTCTTATACTTTTACCTTAGCTTAGTAAGGA